TTTTTTTTTTTTGCATCTATTGACAGGATCATATGGTTTTTATCCTTTCTTTTATTAATGTGGTGTATCATGTTGATTGATTTGTGAATACTGAAGCACCCCTGCAGCCCAGGAATAAATCCCATTTAATCTTGGTGAATAATTCTTTTAATGTACCATCGAATTTGATTTGCTAGTGTTTCACTGAGAATTTTTAAATCCACATTTATCAGGGATATCAGCCTACAATTCTCCTTTTTAGTGGGATCTTTGGTTTTGGAATCAACATAATGCTGGCTTTGTAGTATGTATTTGGACATTTTCCTTTCATTTCTATTTTTTGGAAGTTTAAGAAGAGTAAGTATTAGCTCTTCTTTAAATGTCTGATAGAATTCCCCTGGGAAGTCATCCAGCCCAAGACTTGTTTTTTGGGAGATTTTTGATTACTGATTCAATTTCTTTGCTAGCTATGGATCTGTTCAGATTTTCTATTTCTTCCTGTTTTAGTTTTGGTAGTTTTAAAGTTTCTAGGAATTTGTCCATTTCTTCCGGGTTACTCAGTTTGTTGGCATATAATTTTCATAGTATTCTCATAATTTTGTATTTCTGTGGTGTTGGTTGTGATCTCTCCTCTATCATTTGTGATTTTATCTTTCTCTTTGCTTTTTGATAAGTCTGGGTAGTGGTTTATCAATTTTATTAATTCTTTCAAAGAGACAACTCTTGGTTTCATCAATCCATTCTACTGTTTTTGTTTGTTTCTACATCATTCATTTCCTCTCTAATCTTTATTATTTCCCTTCCTCTTCTGGCTTTAGGCTTTGTTTGCTGTTCCATTACTAGCTCCTTTAGGTGTACAGTTAAGTTGTGTATTTGAAACTTTTCTTGTTTCTTGAGATAGGCCTATACTGCAATATACTACCCTCTTAGGATTGCTTTTGCTACATCCCAAAGGTTTTGGGTTGTCGTGCTTTCATTTTCATTTGCTTCCATATATTTTTAAAATTCTTCTTTGGGATCTCTGGGTGGCGCAGCGGTTTGACGCCTGCCTTTAGCCCAGGGGGCGATCCTGGAGACCCAGGATCGAATCCCATATCGGGCTCCCGGTGCATGGAGCCTGCTTCTCCCTCTGCCTATGTCTCTGCCTCTCTCTCTCTCTCTCTCTCTCTCTCTCTCTCTCTCTGTGACTATCATAAATAAATAAAAATTAAAAAAAATAAAATAAAATTCTTTAGTTTCTTGGCTAACCTATTCATTCTTTAGTAGGAGGTTCTTTAACCTCCATGTATTTGAGGTTTTTCCAAATTTTTTCTTATGGCTGACTTCCGGTTTCATAGTGTTGTGGTCTAAAAATATACATGGTATTGATCTCGATCTGTTTGTACTTGTTGAGGGCTGGTTTGTGACACAGTATATGATCTATTCTGGAGATCCATGTGCACTTCAGAAGAATATGTATTCTGCTGTTTAAGATGAAATGTTCTGAATATATTTATTAAATCCACCTGGGCCAGTGTGTCATTCAAAGCCATTGTTTCCTTGTTGATTTTCTGCTTAGATGATCTATCTGTCCATTGCTATAAGTGGAGTATTAGAGTCCCCTACTATCATTGTATTATTATCAATGAGTTTCTTTATGTTTATTATTAGTTGATTTATATATTTGGGTGCTCTCAAGTTGAGGGCATATTTACAATTGTTAGATCTTTTTGATGGATGGATCCCTTAATTATGATATAATGCCTTTCTTCATCTCTTGTTACAGTCTTTATTTTAAAACCTAGTTAGTCTGATATAAGTATGGCTACACTGGCTTTCTTTCAACATCCATTAGCATGATAGATGGTTCTCTATCCCCTCACTTTCAATCTGCAGGTATGTTTAGGTCTAAAATGGGTCTCTTGTAAGCACATGTAGATGGATCTTGTTTTTTCATCCATTCTGATACCCAATGTCTTTTTTGATGGGAGCATTTAGTCCATTTGCATTCAGAGTGATTATTGAGAGATATGAATTTAGTGCCATTGTGTTACCTGTAGAGTTGGTGTTGCTCTCTGGTGACACTATCTGGTCCTTTCTAGTCTTTGTTGCTTTTGGTCTTTTTTCTCCACTCAAAGAGTTTCCCCTTACAATTTCTTGCAGGGCTGGTTTAATGATCATGAACCCCTTTAGTTTCTGTTTGTCTGAAAAACTCTGTATCTCTTTTTTATTCTGAATGATGGCTTTGCTGGATAAAGAATTCTTATCTGCATATTTTTCCCATTCAACACATTGAATATTTTCTTCTTCTTTTTGGCCTGCTAAGTCTCTTTGGACAGATTCACTGTGAACCTGAACTGTCTTCTCCTAGGTTAAGGACCTTTTTTCCTTTGCTGCTTTCAGGATTCTTTCCTTGTCTGTGTATTTTGTGAATTTGACTATGATATGCCTTGGTGATGGCTAGCTTTTGTTGGATTTAATGGGAGTTTTCTGTATTTCTTGGATTTTGATGTCTGTGTCCTTCCCCAGATTAGGGAGGTTTCAGCTATAATTTGATCAATAAATCTTCTGCTCTTTAATCTCTCATTTCATCATCTGGGACTCCTATGACACAAATGTTATTACATTTTACTAAGTCACTGAATTACCAAAGTCTACTTTCGTGGTCCATTACCTTTTTTTTCCCTCTTCTTTTCAGTTTCATTATTTTCCATAATTTTATCCTCTATATCACTGATTCACTTCTCTGCTTTATCCATCCTCGTTTTTATGGCCTCCATTTGTGTTTGCATCTTGGTTATAGCATTCTAAATTTTGGAATAACTAGATTTTAGTTCTTTTATCTCTATGGTAAGGGATTCTCTAGTGTCTTCTATGCTTTTTTCAAGCCCAGCTAGTATCCTTACAATCGTTATTTTCAATTCTCGTTCAGACATCTTACTCATAGCTGTATTGATTAAACCCCTAGCCATGAATTTTGCCTCATGTTCTTTCTCTGGGGGATTTCCTCCATCTCGTCATTTTGTCCAGAAATAAAAGAGTTCAGAAGAGAAAAAGGAACAACAAAAGCAAAACAAACATGCAAAAAAACAAAAGCAAACAAAAAAAGAAAAAACCCAAAAGACAAAACCAAACAAAACAAAAATACAAAACAAGAAAAACAAAGGAAAAAAACTATATCCTGGAATGCTTGGGTCTAGATCCCTTGGGATGCCTGGGTGGCTCAGTGGTTAAGCATCTGCCTTCGACCTGGAGTCCCAGGATCGAGTCCCACATCCGGCTCCTTGCATGGAGCCTGCTTCCCCCTCTGCCTGCATCTCTCATGAATAAATAAATAAAATCTTAAAAAAAAAAAAGAATCTAGATCCCGAGATAAATAAAATGAAAGTAGACATATATATATGAAAAAATATGAAAAGCATACATATGAAAATTCATATATATATAAATTTCATATATATCTATGAAAATCATAGATACAAAAATTTTTAAAGAATCATAATAAAACATTAGAAAAAGGGAATTGGAAAATATAATACATGAAAATATAACAAGAAATAAAGAATAAAAGTGGAAAGGAAGCCCGTTGCTCTTTCCCCCGGAGCTGCCCTGGGGGGAGCTGTGGTTTCCAGGGGTCTTGGGGGAGAGGCCTGCGGGCGCCTGGCCTCCCGGCCACCTGCGGGTGGGGCTGCTGGGCGGTGCAGGGCGGCCTGGGTGCGCTGGCTCAGGCCTGTGACCCAGTTTCCAAACTCCAAAATGTCAGGGACGCCTGCTGGGAGGAGCAGGGCGCTCCCCTGGGTGCAGGTGGCGCAGGTGACGCAGGTGGCGCAGGTGTCACCCGCTTGCCCTCCGCTCCCGGGAGAGCCCTCCGCAGACCCGAGGGGCAGCCTGCTCCGTGGGCTGCAGGGCCCCATGCCTGGGAACAGCGCAGCACTGTGGCGCCACCTGTTCCTCCTGTGACCCAAGGGATCCTCCGGGGATCGTGCTCCCCTCGGCCCCCGGAGCACCTGGAATCCGGACGCATCCTCCCGGGTTGGGAGCGTATGGAGCTTGTGCGCTGTGCCACTGCCAACACGGTGCAGGCTCCTCCCCGAGGCCTGCACCCGCTGCCTCCCCCCGCGAGTTGCCCTGCCTCCTACCTTCCACAAAGGTGGTCGTGTTTCTACTTGGAGGCTTGCAGGTTTTGTTCTCTAGGAGTCGGACTGACTTCTTGGGTGTTCAGAATAACTCGGTGACTATCTAGCTCTGCTGGAGGGTGGAGACAAGCTCGGAGTCCTCCCCTCCCCACCCCCACATTTTGTTTGAATCATCAATCATTTCCTTTTATTTTTTTTGGAGAATGGGTTAGATGATTTTATAGAGCTGGTTCAAATCCATGGACTGATTCCAGGTCGTTTTCCCATTGGGGTTTTATTTACTCATGAACAGAGAGAGAGAAAGAGAGAGGCACAGACACAGGCAGAGGGAGAAGCAGGGAGTCCGACGTGGGACTCGATGCCAGGTCCCCAGGATCAAGCCCTGGGCGGAAGGCGGTGCTAAGCTGCTGAGCCACCCCGGCTGCCCATCCCATTGGGGGTTTGAAGATCAATTGCCTTCTGGGCCTAAACAAAGCTCTGTGTTGGTCGGCCTGTGGGTGAGTCTGTGCATGTGGTTAAATTAACATAAATCATTGAAAATTACCCATTTTTTTCATTATTTTGACCTTCTTAGTATTTAAGGCAATGAAACTCAGTTGGGCAAATCATTCTAAATATGACAAATGAAACAATAATAACCATTCTACATTTTATTCCCCAAATGTCCACAGTAGTCTCATTCTGCCTAGATGGAAAATGAACGTTGGAGGACAAAACTGCCTAGAGTGGTTTTCGCGCATGTGTGTGTGTTTTAATTTCCAGGAGCCCCATAAGAATAGCAACTCACGGAAATAACTCAGTTACGTTCTCTTCCATAAGCGTGTGTAGAGTATAGACTCACTCACAATGACTCAAGAACCAAACAAAGAAGCAGACCCACAGCCACCCGACCCTTTCTGTATTTACCTGGCAGGTAGCTGCAGAGTCTCTCCATCAAGGCCTCCACCGTGGAGTTGTGAACTTGAGCAAGTTGTTCAATCATGGATACCACCACCACACAGGCTGCAAGGGGGCAGAAAAACACGTCAGCAGTGTCATAAGGAAAACCCTGATGGAGGGCCAGGGGAAAGGTAGGGATACGTGTGTCCTTAGGAACACCAGCCTTTCCAAAATACAGAATTTTTGTGTGCTGAGCCTTTTATTTATTTTTAAAGATCTTATTTACTTATGCATGCGAGACACAGGTACTTAAGTAGAGGGAGAGGCAGGCTCCCTGGAAGGAACCTGATGCGGGACTCCATCCCAGAACTCTGGGGTCAGGACCTGGGCTAAAGGCAGCCACTCAACCACTGCGCCACCCAGGTGCTCCTGTTTGCTGAGCCTTTTTAAATCTACCGTGTGCATAAAGACACTGTGAGTTGTAAAGTGTGAAGTGTGCTAAGATGGTGTGTTCAAGGATCAGAAAGACTGGTTGTCAGTTCAGTTTTTCCACTTGGAAGCTTTGTGACTTTGGTGAGGTAACCGAATCTTTGTTTAGTTATATTTCCATCACATGGGAGAAAGACAAGACATTTATTATTTATTTATTTTAAAAATATTTTATTATTTATTTATTTATTCATGAGAGACAGAGAGAGAGAGAGAGAGAGAGGCAGAGACACAGGTAGAGGGAGAAGCAGGCTCCCTGCAAGGAACCCGATGTGGGATTCGATCCCAGGACCCAGGATCATGCCCTGAGCTGAAGGCAGACGCTCAACCATTGAGCTACCCTGGTGTCCCAAGACTTGACATTTAAAGGAGATAGTGCAGGAACAAACCAGCCAGCATGGAGTAGCTCATAGACATTGGCATCTTTCCTCTCTTCCTTTTTGCAATTGATGGCTTCATTGTGAATAGGATCATTCCCACCCCATACATGCTCAGCTGTGACCTAGGGTGAGGTTTTTAATTTTAGAAAAGTGGTGGAAATTGCTTATCATTTGTAATCAGAAGACCTGGCCAGGCTTTCTAAGACTTGGTCTCTCACTGCAAAATAGGTAATAAGTTTCCTATAGGGCTGCTGTAATGATTAAGGGAGATAACAATGCAAGTGAATGTGCCTTTGAAATCATAACACTATTGTAAAATATCATTTTACCTCCCAGCTATAAAGCACTCTGCTTGAAAGCATGTACCAATAAGTATCTAGAAGGAACCTCAGATTAAATTTGAAATATATTCCTTCAGCTGCCTTGATATATAGGTGTGTAGGCCCAGAAATGCTAGGCTGAAACCCCTTAGAGGGTTCTATCACCAGCTTTGATTTCCTAAATGCTTGGGGAAGCCCAAATCTCCTTTTTCCAAAGGGAAGGGACACTTTCTTCTATACACAAAGGGTTGATTGGCCAAAGATCAGTAAGTCTATGGGAGAAAATTGTTTGGCCTCCTTGAGATAGGAGGAGTGGCATTTATTAGCAGAGGTTGGTTTCCAAGCAGGCAAAAGAAGGCTTATATCCCAAATGAGAAAGTTCCAGGGTGCCTGGCCCAGTAGTAAGCTCACTATTATCCATCTGCTCAAGGAGCTGGGAACCCAAATGCATATGCAGTGTCATTAAAACCAGGTTTCTACCAGAATTCTTGAGGGAAGGTGGCTCATAACAGATGTGATAGTACAATTGAGGATTTCTTGACAGAAAGAAATAAAACCTTTTGTGAAATGTTGAGAGTGCTAATGAATGAGAGACTTCCTACTTTCTTGACATTGCAACATGTGATGAGTCTTTGGCCTCGATTGCATTGTATCCCTCAGCAGGGAGTCTGCTTGGGAGTCTCTCTCTCCCTTTCCCTCTGCCACCCCCCCAACACTTGCATGCTTTTTCTCTCTCTCTCTCTAAAACAAACAAACAAATAAATCTTTAAAAACAAACAAAGAATCCAAAGAAGGCAGTGGAGATTGGGTTGAAATTTTGCATAACAATCACTTCATCAGGCATTTCATCAATAAACTGCTTTACCCAGAGTGGGCTTGAAACACAAGTATGCATTTGTTTTAATCCAGGGCTTAGAAGGGTCAATGCAATGTGCTGCTCAAAACCAACCTGCTTCCTTGTACTTATAGGTATGGGTTTTTCTTTTACTCAGAGGAATCCCATCGAGGACTCTTATGACTTCGGTGGCTCCTTGATGGCTCCTTAGCACTGCTTGCTAAAATTGGAAATCATTAGATAAAAAGGAGCCAAAAAAAAAAAAAAGTCAACTGTCTCTGAAGATTGGGTGGATCTTCCCATTACCTTCACTCTGCCTAGTGAAGAGTTATGATCAAAAGGGCTCTGCAGAAAAGCAGGTAATGGGGTTTGAAATACGTAAAAGCCCAGGTTGGGCCCAGCTTTGATTTGAGTCCTGTTCACTTGGACATCCCTGCCCATTTCCAGTGGCTCAACTCCCCTTCCAGCTGGTTTGTTAATTTAAGGTCTACAGTAAGGTGTGTTCTGAATCCTTCAGTTGGCAAGAATGGATAAATTGACTTTGCTATCGTTTCTAATAATAGGTTCCACAGGCTTGACAAGCTAAAGAATGTTTTCCTTGGGAGAGATGCATGAGCAAAGTAATTTCTCCCATTACACACCATTCTCTGGCTGCTAATAAAAGGCCTGGCTCTACTAAAGTGAGTTTGTCCAAGCTACTGTTCATTTAGAAAGTGATGAGAGTCAGTGAGAGCTGTGCTTTTTGTTCAGTGGTCACCATCTGAAACCTCACATATGGCAAATCTCTTCTCACATGGCATCTGAGACTAATGAGTGTAATAGAAACAGACACTCCTGATATTGTAGGAAAAGACGCGAATGGGCCCAAATAAAAACACCTGCCACGGGGATCTGTTTCTGGACACATAACTCAGGTAGGCTGCAAATGATACCCAGAATCCTTTTGAAATGAAACAGGACTCTTGCAAGTCTAATTATAATCATATCAGTGCTCTCTGGAAATGTAGCCACTGCAGAGAACAGGCTAAAAGATTTCCCATTTGTCTGAAGCCCACACTTCATGGAAAAGCCCAGAAAGCACTTGGCAGTTATCAGAGCCAGAGTCAGCATGACTATACTTCCTTTTTGACCCTAAATGGGGGCATAAATAATTCATCACATGGCTAGAATGTGCTCTGCAGTTTTCAAAGTGTTTTGCATACATTATCATCTCATTCAAACTTCACAACAACTTGTAGATGTAGGAATTATCGCTCTCATTTTGCAGACCAGCAGACAGAGGCTCAGGGAGGTTAGAAGCCTTGTAGAGTGTATAGCTAGTAAGCAGGACAGCTGGGACTGGAGCAGAGTGTCCATTGAGTTCCTTCTAGATGGAGGCCCTGTGCTGGGCTCTGAGTATATGCTGAAAACAAACTGATACGGTTCCTGCCCTCTTAGAGATTATAGTCTATTAGAGATAAGTGCAAATAAGTAAGCAAATGCATAATTATAAATAATTTTAGGCACTATGAAGATAAGGAAAAGTGCAAATAAGTAAGCAAATGCATAATTATAAATAATTTTAGGTGCTATGAAGATAAGGAAACAGGGTGAAGTAGCAGAGGGTAGTGGGGATGGGGGTGTTGTAAACCTTAGCTAGAGCCCAAGAAGGCTTCTCTGTAGAATACACATGCAAAAAGAGTAATATAATGGAAAAGATCATGAGGAGCTAGGGCAGGTTCTAAAGGGGGTGGCTACTGGTGCCCGCTTCATGGCATAAAGCTAGGAAAGCCTAACACCAGAACCCAGTAGTGAAAGATGAGGTGCAGGGAAAAGAAGAGGCCAGGTTTATTGGATTTGTAGATTGCAGAGGAGACAGGGATTTTTCCAGAGAGCGATGGGGAGCCATGGCTGGGTTTTGTGGAAGGGGTTGCTGCTCTCTGATCTGTGTCTTTAATTTATTGTGCTGATTGTCATGGGGAGGAAGGACCTGAGGGGGCAAAGATGGAAGCAGAGAGATGAAGTGGGAGGCTATTTTGGTCCTGAAGAGAGATGATGATAGATTGCAGAGAGTAATGAGCAGCGTGGACATAGAGAAAGACAGATTTGGGATCTATTGTGGAGGTTAACCTGATACAATTTATTAATGAAGTGATGTGTGAAGGAAAGAAGAGTGAGGGAACGTGAGAATCAAAACTGACTCCTGTGTTCCTGGCCTGGTTCCAGGGAGGAGCAGAGCACAGGGTTTAGAGCCACGCCACACCTAAGTTTGGATCCCTGAATCCCTGTTGGACCCACATGACTTTCTACATCCCGCCTGCCACCACAATGCCACCACAATGTCCCTCGATTCTGTTCTCCTCAGATTTCCCTGCTTGGGTGGGAGCAGAAGATATGGCTTTCCACGTTTACGTGATCCCAGGCCTTTCTCATGTTGGTGAAAAAAAGGGGAAATAAGAAAGAAAGGTATGAAAATAATCACTTCCAATTGTCCTACTGCCAGTCTAGTTTCCATAAGCTCTTAGTTACTAAACCAGAGATGGTAGCACACAACTCAGGGAGGGGGAAAGTGGGTAGGAGAAGAAAAGGGAATGGAAGGGAGGGAAGAGACGGAAGAAGCTAGGTTCCAGGGGAGAATAGAAGAATGTGGGGGTCAGACAGACCTGGGCTCACATCCTGCTTCTATGGCTTATGAGCTGATATATTTGACAGGATGGTTAACCTCTCTGAACCCAGATTTTGGCACCCCCCCAAATGGTCTCCTAATGTCTACTTGCATGATATATTAAACATGGCCACGACTATTTTGTACTTCCTCCCATGAAGAGGAGCAATCTGCTTCCCAGTCCTCTGATCTGGCCTTGTGTAACCTGCTTTGATTGGTGCACCATGGAGGAAATGACAGCACATTGGGTCTGAACCCAGGCCTCAAGAGGCCTTACAGCTTCTACTTTTTCCCCTCTTAGAACATTATAACTGTGAGCTTGAGCCAGCCTGCTGGACAAGCCACCTGAAGGGGAGCCGTTGTGCCTCAGCCAACAGCCTGCCAACTACTAGATTTGTGAATGAGGCCATTCTAGATCATCCGGCCCCTGTCATTCCACCATCTTTCAGCTGAAT